ATTTATTTGGAATAACGTTTTTAATGTAATAAAGATAAAAGAAGTAAATTATGTATTAACAAACAATCATCCGTACAATGGTCATACGAAATAGTTGAAAATTTATCAAATAAAAATCATGTTTTTTTTCTTGGGGAGAAATTAAAGCACCTTTTTTGGAGTGGGGTGGCAAAAGACATAAAAAACGATTATTTGTTTAATTGGAATAGAAAGTTGATTTGCTTTTGATCACCTTATGTATCAAATATTCATGGAAATTAGAATTATAAAAAAGTACTAGAATGATAATTGTGTAATGCAGTAAGATACATCTAGGTTCTAATGTTTCATCTTATTTTATCCATAATCGATGTTATAATACGGTTTTATATGGTTTTAATAAAAACAATAATGTTTTTATTTTTAAATAAAATATATATTTTGAAGATACCATAAAATTTTGAAAAAAATATATTGATATTAATATCAAATTAACTATTTAAAAGTTCTTGTTTTGTTGTGTAATTTCTTTATTCAAATTTTTTATTATAATTTAATTTAGGTTTAATAAGAAGTAATTTATTTTTGATTTAATAATGTAATTTTTTTATAAATATAATAATTAAGTATTCGGTTAGGATACAATGAATATCTTAATTATATTTTAGATTTTTTATATCTAAAATAAAATTTTATCAAGTATTTGATTTTGTTTATCTGTAATTAAAGTAACATTGATAGATAAACTAAGAGAAAAGATGGAAGGTATGGATTCCAGTGTCATATGAGTACTAACCCCTGATCATTATTTTTAAGAGATTGAGTCAAATGCTTATGATTAAATTTAAGAATAATTCCATAAATTTACAACTTAAATTCTTTTTAATAATTTGATTAAAAATAATTAAAGATCAAATTTGCTAAAAACTGTAAGTTCAATAATTATGTGTACAACATAATAATCATCATCTTCTTGAAAGAATGTTGTAAAATAAGAGAGTAAAGTTCAATTTTGATTCTTTGAGGTTCGGTGAAACTTCTGTTTAACGAAATCATTTTGTGTGGTTTGCTTTTTGTTTTGAAAATGATCCATGAAATTAATTCCGTTATCTTAACGGAGTTGTTATTGAGAATCATTTTCAAAGCAAAATACAAACCACATGGATGATTCATATACCTATTAGAGGTTGGGCCCCAACTTTAATAAACCCTAAGTACCAAAATTGAAGTTTACTCAAAATAATGTCATAATAGTTGTTGAAATGTTCTTCATAGGCCATCAGTTTTTTCTATACAGAAATCATACTATAACTACTTTTCTCCTTAAGCATCGCATATATTTGCATAGATTTTTCCAAATCTTAAAAACAAAATGAAAAATCAAGTTAATTTAGTTGATCTTGAAATGGTAGTTATAGAAAACACGACCTTATTATTTGTTGGTTTCGATCGTCATCATTTTAAAATCAACCAAATGAAACTAATCAATAAGGTTTACGTCAAATCATTCTAAATAATTATTAATCTTTCATGTAAGGTTTACGTCACAAAGCAGAAAATAAATATAATACAACGTAAAAAATGAATATTTAGTCTAAATTTCTTGCCATATATGATGTATGTCACCAAGAAAAAGGCATGAAACATTGCTGGTGTTTAACAAAGCATGGATTGTGCTTTCCTTATAACCATAATTTATGAACCTTAGATAGAATTTTATGTGACATAGAATTGGGAAAAGGCAGCAACCTTAACCATCATTTCATTCCAATTCCAATTCCAATTCCAATTCCAATTCCATTCCAACATCAAACAGCATAATGGAAAGGTTGACCAGACAAAGCTCCACCACCACCACCATAGGTGAGCATAGGTGAGGTGAGACTAACCATCACTTTCATGGAATATTACACTTTAACCCCTCCAACTACCTACATAAACCATTCATCACTCACTTTTGATCCCTTCAATCAATAATGACTCCTCAAGAAAGTCTCACACATACCCAAAAACAAACTTGTGCAAGGATGGAATGTTACATTCAAATAAAAATCCAACAAACATATGTAGTTTTTCATTTATGGCATGGCATTGAAGGAGAAAAGCCCTTCTTTTTTAAGTTATAACATGCTTATTTACATCATATGATATGAAATTGCACGGTTTAAAAACTAAGATATCAAAAAAAATTATAACCAAAACGCATTAAAGGGACTTGTAATAAAAGAACTCTAGATGCAGCAATAAGCACGTCGTGATATTTGACTAGTTTCTTTCCTATGAAATTCCACAAGCATAAAAACATGCTCACTTGGCGTGCACCCAAGATAAGTTAAAAAAAAAACATAGCTTGCATGCTTAACCACTTTTCAAGAAGAAAAACCGCTTATTAAGTTAACTTTTTTTTAAATAAAGCAGGAAATTTCCTACATAAACCGACTTTATTCACAATCTCTTGTATAAACTTCTAGCATACTAACATCAACATGACTTGTTGACAAAACAACCGACCAACACTATAGGAATTAAAAATTACTTGCTATTAAAATTTAGTTTAATTAATAAAAGAATTTCCAACACAAAGACCCACAAAAATAGACTTTCTAACCATCTAAATTGCACATAATAAGTCATGCATGATTCATGGTCCAATTTCATGAACCAAGATTTTAAATGACGTGAGGCTAAGTCTAAGCAGTTACGGAGTTTTTCAAGACTTGATTTATGGCGATAAATATCTATATCATATATAATATTATATATATATATATATTTAAACATATGTTTTCTACTGTTACTCAATGTATTAATGATATTAAACAATTTAAATTAGGTTATATATTAAAAAACTAACAAGATATTAAAAAGGTAAAAAAAAAACAAATATTGTGTTATAAAAACCACGCATTAGGTCATGACATACCACAAACTTAACATGGTATCAGACACAAGTATTGAGCCACATCGATGTGACAAGCTTTAACAAAGGGTTGGACAATGAATAAATCAAATGAATTCTGCATATAATTATTCTTAAAAAGTAAAGCTTCCTACCCACAACCTCATATTGCTTATATCATTGCATATGTCAAGTTAACATCACTTAGCACAATGACCCCTCCATGCCCATATTCATTCCCCTATGGAAGTGGATGGTATAAGTTGCAATCATATCCATTCTTCCCCTCATAAACTTGTCTTTATTGGGCATAAGTTTATGTAAAATTCTTGTTTTGCATTCCAACTTTCTCCTATTCATATCCAGTGCCTTTTTATGTTCATATGGTAGCCAACAACCACCCCTTTGAGATGTATATATTGTTATGACATGGCATGAATGAAATGAAAATTGATACCGTAACCACAAGAAACTATTAGCGAAAATAAAACCAACAAGGACATTATAAGAAAAAAGGAGCAAATGCTCGGAATATTAGGAGTATAGTAGACATGGTACGCTCAGTTAGCTTTGATTTGGTCTTACTAGTACACAAACCGTAGATCTACTAATTGTTTAGTAGAGCGGGGAAAGAAAGACCACTCCAGACCAATGCTAGACCTCGTTTTTTCTTCTTTTGGGACGCAACGGAATTTAATTCATGATAAATTGGGGTGTCACATGAGTTAGAAACATACTCAACATATATTTGGGGCTATGATCCAACAAAAATGGAACATAGAGGGAGAGAGACCTCTAGCACACTACTATTGGTATGCCCACTTTAAGGAAGGTATTTTTGAAGAACAAGCTAACCTAAAATTAAACACAATGATTTTGCTGAAGATAGGTCTGCATACATCCACACCAAGACCCCACCTCCGAATGGGATATATTGGGTTTGTTTGGTTTGGCTTTTTCTCGGCCATTTTTGGCAACCATAAGTCCATAAGCTAGCTTTTTTTGAACTTAATGAAGAAAAAAAAACTCTGTTTGGTTAGCCATAAATAGCTTTTTGAAAAGCCATTTAAAGTGGTGTTTCAATAAATTCAATGGGGCTTTTTCCACCTTTTTCCAATTATTCCTCATATATTTTCCAATTAATTTTTCAATATGCCATTATTGTCATCTAGCTTATCAGCTAGTTTTTACCAAACAAAACCAGTCTATCAGCTAATAGCTAGCTTACTAACCAACAATAGTTTGCTAACCATGGCCTTAAGGACCTACCCATTCATGAACATGATTATTCTTCTCGACCAAACAAAGAATTTGTTTCTTGGAAGTTACGGGAAGTGTGTCCTACAGATGCCATGAACAAGGAATAGAGTCCCACAAAACACGGTTTTGATGTTATTGCCCAAAGGAAGATTTGCAAATAGTCAATGTTGTCAGATCTAGATAGTGCTAAAGGAACATGATCATAAACAAGAAAGTCAACCACTAGGCAGAAAGCTTTAGTGGTCCTATAAGATCCTAACTGATTTATCACTGTAACCTTGGTGTCTGGCAATAACCCACTTTCATTACCATATGAACGGCACAATAACATGTAAACAAGTAATAACAACTAATAATGCATATTGATAACCAATTTAACCACTTAACCAGTTAAGAAAGCAATAAGGTACTTGAATATAGAGAAGGATCAAGATATGTTACCATAATTTTGGAAGGCAGGGATTCCATCTTGCTTCTCTTTTCGCTATCGCTATGGAACAAGTTCGAGTTTCACCAGCTGCAAAAGTGAACATGTCGAGCTACCTTTTAGAACATCAGTGTAAAATTAGTAAACAAAATGTACAAAGAAAATGAAAAACAGAATTATCGATCTAACAGTAAATTTGTATGATATTGCTTCTCATAATTTTATATTGCATAGCTCAGTGATGAGTTTGACTAAGCAACCGTAAAAATGGAATTTCAGAGGTCATTATGAGAAGATCAAACATGATCACCAACAAAGAATCTACGTGGGGTCCAAAGTGCAATATGGCATTTCTGTAAATGTCAGAAACTACAAGGGCATCCTCTTGGTTTCTTTGTATAAATACAACACAAATCTAATCCAAAAACCTTACTTGAAAACTAAAAACAACAACTCTTGTTAGTCCATGCTTCTGTGTAAGAAAACAAAAACGAGCAAAAATGGGGAATTGCATAATTCGACAAAGCAAGGTCATGCAAACAGGTTGGGATGTCACTGAACAAAAAGAACGCATGAAAGTTCATCGGGTCTTACCAGAAGTACTCCCAGTCGTGCAGCATCTCCGGCAAGAAACTCATATGATCAGTGGGCAGATGTATCATCCAGTGCCATTGTCAGTACCTTTGCTGGAATTCAACAAGAACCCAGTAATGGAGGCAGAATCACAAAGCAATCATGAAGTTGTGAGGATTAAGCTGGTCATAACTAAGCAAGAATTGGAGGTGATGTTGAGGAAAGGTGGAGTTTCAGTAAGTGAATTGGTTTCTCATACAAATAAAGAAAGCTTGGATGAGACCGATGGAAGATGGAAGCCTGTCTTAGATAGCATACCTGAATTTAACTAGCATCTTAAGATTTAATAACTCTATAGCTTCGACATACAAAGAATGTGTAGTCAGTAAGCCTGAAAAGATACAGCCAAACATGATTACCATAAATTGTAATAACATGAAAGATAATAATATATTTAGTTCAAGAAATTCCTTGAAAACAAAAAACTAAAGGTTTACTTTGTCATACTACTTGTAAGATAGCATGTTATATGCATGTTTCATTCTCATCCTACTGACCCATTTAGTCTATGTACATGTCTTTTACTCGGGTTTCTATCCTATAGTTGAATTTCTTGTTTCACCATGATTCTCTGCATGGCTTCAAAGCCCTCTCCACACTGCCAAGAAAAGGCAACATCACCATGTCAATGTGTGGCAACACCTCTAGCAAGGCAACTATTATGCTGTTGCACCCGTCCAGCCGGCAACCATCCTAGTTGATGCCACTAATGGCATACCATTGCCAATTCTGGCCCTCTATGATGTGGCACCAGCACCACTGCCTCCATAGGGATCACCGTCATCTTTTCTCTCTATGTTTACTGCTGCCATCTGCTTTCTTCTTCAGGTGCTGCCCCTTTTCTTGCCAGGTTGATCAGCAACAAGCAACAAACAGGGATGCAAGCGTATATCTGAAAACCCAAGTGTGTGAATAGATATCTAATAAAAACAGATACTATCAATATCAGATATATCTCTTCCCGTATCCAGAAATATCTGGTATCTGAAAATATTTTTAGATTTTATGGTATCTCAAGACAGTCTGGAAGAGACATCTCATACTCAAATCGAGTGGGGGTTTTACAAGGGTCGCTCAATTTCTGGGACAACCACCAGAAGCTATTATATGTTCGCTGGGATTAAACTTGTATTCTAGAAAGCCAGGATAATGGTAATTTCTTGTGAGATGTTATGGACCATAATGAAGCAGCTTGAAATGTTATTAATAACTACTGCAACCACAGTAGTAATATATCTGTCCATAATGAATACCCGTACATACAAGTAAATTCTTTTAAAAATCAAACTACATTAGCTGCAGCCACTGTGAAAGAAATTGTTAAATCATTCCAACTTGGGATGTTTTCACCACATGCAATGTTGTCTTTTGCAATCTCTTAAGTTCCCAGTTATCGACTTCCTCACATCTTGGTCTCTATTGCCTATACTTTGCAACTTCATTCAGTGATTAACAAATTATTTTAGCATCCTGAATATAACCTAAGTTGCTATAGCCAGAAACTGGAGACTGCTGCATACAAATTCCTTAAGATCAAGCATAATAAATTCCTTACGATCAAGCATAATAAATTCCTTACGATCAAGCATAATATATTCCTTACGATCAAGCATATATGACTGCACAAACCAATAAACTCAAGCCTGTAGCCAGAATCTATGCACAAACATGGGTAATGCCAAGCACTTTAATAAGTCTTCAATTAAGGAAAAAATGGATCTTGTTGTGAATTCCATTATAATTAGCCTGATAGACTTAATCGGCAGTGTCAGGAGCATGTAACATTTGGCATAAAATAATAAAATGTGGCATGGCGTAGGTTTAATTTGTGAATATGTTAAAGGTTTTGGCGTACGAATACATATTAATATTCACCAGTGTCTCCACTCTCTCTTTATCAAAGATCTAATTTCTTGTTGGCATCAAATATTAAGCCCCAACAAGAAAGGAGCTAAACAAAACCCATCATTTTTTTACAAACAATTGTTGAGTGCTTACATTTATAATGTGAATAAGTAGCTTTTACTTCATGCCCCTCATGGGGAGAAAGCAATCCTATATGTTATATACAGCCAACATATCAACAGAACTTAAGCATCATACTTTGCATATTGTAAGCGACTCTGTCGACAAACATTGAGAACTCATTACTTCTGTTTCCATAGAAAACACATGCGTCTGTGTCCCCAAGCTCTTGACTCTAGTAGAATGAGGAGCTACTCTTGTTTCCTTTCCACTTGTAGGGAAATCTCATTACGTCGTGTAAATGGGAGTGTAAATGGTGGGTTGTACTGAAAATATATAAAAATTGTTATTATAGTGCTTTTGTAGATTAGTTTATTTTTGCAAGAATCTTTTACATTACCTGTGCAACCTCCACCGATGCACCACTTTTTACTTTGTACTGACTATCATTCTTTAGGGCGTTCCTAAGTGTTGATTCGCGACGCATAACATCTTCATCGGTGACAAAACCTGAATAGTGGAGAACAGAGTGGAGGTAAGGATTGCAAGTGATGGACATTTTACACATTACACTAGCTGAATCTTATGTCTATATAGGGACACAACATATAGTAGTTGAAGCTATCAAACCGCTCTTATGTATCTGTGCCACACTTCTGGTATAGTTAAAAAAATTTACAAAGGATCATCCTGTGTATATTATGATGATGGCACTAGCCATCCTTCGATGTTCATGATCACATATAAAAAGTTCCAGAGAGACTGACCAAGCATGAAACATATAGTTGATAGTGTCCTGACAGGACCATAAGCCTGGTTAACATTTATTTTTTCTTCCCTTATTTGCTATTCGTATTTTCTTTCTTTTTCATTTCACAAAATACTCTCTTTGTCTGAAACATTTTTCTTCTGACTTTTGGTCAAATTGACTCTTAATAACTTCATACTTGATATGTAATTTAGTTAATATAGGAGAAACCCATGATCATGTTATACCCTGGGTTTAGAAATCAATGGGTCAACATTGGTAGGCGGGTAGATAGTTGGTGGGTTGGGGATAGTATAAATACAGTAGGTGGCTATTAGTCTAGGTATTCTGTTTTCTGAATGGTATTGGTCGGGAAACTGATTTGGGAGAGTCCAGGCCTCTCGAAAGCCTGTAGAAACTGTAAAAGACACCGATTAATACAAACAGCCGAATAATTCCATTCCAGTGTATAACAGATCATTATATTAAAATGTTGGAAAAAGGGCACAACAAAAATCATTGGCATTAATCATGTAGATTTAAAAGAAAATAAAGGTACTTGGTTGACAATCATATTAGAAGAGAATACAAATTTTTTGAGACAAGGAAGTAGTAAATTCTTATCAAACAACTTGCGGTCATTCTGATCAGTCCTAGCCCAGACAACCTTCCAGGTCACCATACCATTTCAGATGTCACTGAATACAAAGTAAGGCATTTGAGTATCGAATAATTCGTTGTAAAGAAATTGTGGAATGACATAAGTGTTTCCTATAACCCCCATTATAACAGTTGTACCTAACACCATCAAAATGAGATACGGTATTCAGTACTTCAGGACACTCATAAAGCCATGTTTCTATTAAATTTAAAATTTTGTTATCAAAATCGGCTATTATCCTTTACCCTAGAATATAATCATGAACGGAATCACAAACCTGAAAAGGCAACAACTGCCATAGTTCTGCCTGGCACCTCTTTGATAGTTACAGCAGAGTTTTTTGGCAGTGGCAAGTTGGAACCATATTTTGAAGGCATGAGAAAGGACATTTGCCACTTATCTTGATCTCCCATCTGAAAAGAAGTCAAAAATGGAAAATAACATAAATAAGAGAAAATCAAAATAGGAGAAGCATGCAATCGACACAGGAAATGTCTGTATTTTTTACTTTATGAGCCCCTTGTATTGCTATTTACATGCACACCAATGATCAAACAACAGCCTCAATAGAACAACAAGACATTATGAAATTTGAAGTTCATCAACTGGTCAACTAAAGAAATGTATATTGTGAGATTCAACTCCATCAAATTGATTCAACTTGCATATCTAACATTGCATAGATTCAAGTTTCAAGTTGCAAACTTAGTGAGGGTCAAGTGATGAAATATACCAAGAAGCCATGCAAACTTATATATCCAGCGATGACGTTCAGTCAGTTCAGCTCTTTTCTTTTGAATTATTTGTTTAAACATTCCAACTAACTCCTAACCACATTTGCTCATATTTAAATCTACTATGGAACTCAAGTAGAATACTTAGAAGCATAACTCGATCAATCATCAATTATTTAGTTTTCTATGCATTAAATCCTGAATATGGTATGAAGAAAGGAGCTGGAACAAAGGGAAGTCTCTTCTTATAAAAGCATAGCATTTTGTTTTAAATTTAAAGCAAGAAATTTGAAATTCCAACATCTTAGATGAAATAATGGATGAATACACATCATTATAAACCGTTTGGATTATAATCCAAATATTTCTAATTATGTCAGCTTGGAAATAATAAAGAAACACAAAGATGATTAGGAATCTTTTATTAAACAGTATTGACAACATAATATATAATTGACATTATCATCTTAAGACCTCCAGATTTAAATCTTCGAGATTCGTTTAATTTTTATTAATTTATGAGAATAAGAACCAGCAGTATTTAGTTACTTGTCTACACTTATTGAGTTAACGTTTTGGTAAAAATGCAATCTCACCGAAACTTCCTATTTGAGATAATAGGCCTTTATTTCCTATATCAGCATGTGGGTCCCACTACCTTGTAGTCTTGTAAGTAATCGAGGTTTTCCCCTCATAATATGTTATTACATTACACCTTGATATTTTCATGGTGCATTAGCGGAGTTTCTTATACGAACGCTGGTTCCACCACAATAACCACCAGAAAGTTACCACTAACACCCAACAACGGCACTGTTGTTCAGTGCTACCACTAGCAAGCAGTGACAGCTGCATCCACTGATCCTAGGCCATCTAGTGGCCTAGTCAAAGCCACTGCACGGTGTGTTGCTGACATCTAGGTCCCCCCTAAGTGGGAATTATTTTCAGCCTCTTCCAATAGTGCCTTGCACAGTTGCACCTGTTTGGTTCTTCCATGAGAGCCTCACTACAAGGCTTTTCTAGACAGGTCTAGTTGCCTTAACAGATGTTTTGTTCCTTTGATGCCAGTAATTGAACCATTCTCAGGGTTAATCTGTTCGTTTAAGCCTCTGGATCAAGATTTAGAATCTGAAATCCCATATTTCTCTGGTGTTCTAGTTCTTTATTCTGTTCTGAATCATAACTTGAAGCAGTGACAAGGTAAAGAGGCAAACTATCATGTGACCAGTCAGTTATCACTTATGTAAATTGAAAATTCATGTAATACTTTCTGCTATGAATTGGGCTCAACGATCCTCCATCTTTGCGGAAACTGGTTTGAAGAGAAAGAATGTAGTTTTCTGACTACAAAGAAATCTGTTTTTGATCCCTTACATGAGTGTGGCATGTCTGGGTTTCATTGTTAGTGGATTCTCTACGACTGAGGATAAAACGCTGCTAGCTGATCGAGAGATGTAAGGAGACTTATGGAGAAGCTTAATTATCTTATATGACTAGGCCAGACGTTGCATATTCGGTGGATGTAAGTTGGTTCTTTTTTTCGATTAAAGTTGGTTCAGATTTTCTTTCTTTGAATTCTGTGATATCGCAAAGACACTCCAAGGAGAGGTATCTGGCCTTGGTCAAATTGAACGGTGGAAAGATCTTTCGAGATCATATTCAATAGAAGTTCAATCTTTCGCCAGAAAAATAAAAGACCTTACAGAGTAGGAGATTTTTACATAGGAGGGACAATGTACAAAAGGTAGTTTTTTCTCAGATGCTCAAAACCGTTGAGGCTACCTAAAGTTCTAACAAGTAATACATGTACCCTTCATTAGGCTAAAGTTCCAAATATATCTGATTTTGCTACCTACAGTTTTGACACCATGTACCCTTCATAAGCCTGTCAAGCCAATGACTTTACCAAACGATCTCTTACTTGACCAATAATGAATCTAAGGATCCAACTGAAAATGGATTCCTGTAGATATGTTAGATTGTTAGCTGAAAAGGAGCTTTCAGCCTACAATACCAGTACCCATGGTATGCGAGTAAATATAGATTTCAAGATTTACCATTTTTACAAGTCAACAGATAAGATGTTAGTTTTTACCTGAATGGTACTGAATGGTGAACAATAAAAGAATGGTACTGAATGGAACAGAAAGGTGCATAATGGTATTGTAGATAGTAGTGTAATTATCAGTAAAAAAAATTATACACAAAAGAAGATTCTATTAAATTTAGACATGAAAAACGACATACCCTCTTTGTTATCACAGGAGTAGTCATATCCATCGTCTCCCCATCAGATTCGGTCCTTCGTGTGAGAACAGGAGTTGTCATCTCCATTGCCTCATTTGCTGAATTCTGGAACGAAATATGCAATTGAGCATGGTAGAAAAAGATAGTTTTACTGTAGTATGTTCTGAAAGTTTAATCCTGAAACCTCTAATGAAAGATTAAATACCTTACCAAACAGGTACTCGGCTAGTACATTAAATGATTGAGATGCACCATTTAGATCGAACCCATATTTTCCAGGCATTGTAGTCTCAGCTACAAAGTAAGGCTGATTGAAAGTCAGAATCAGAGTTACTCTCTTTATTACCAGGGGTATGCAAAGAAACCATATGAAAACGGAAAATAACCCTACCAATACAATAGACATGCATAGAGTACTCAGTTTAATTATAAGATCCAGAAATGGATCAAAACACTTACAGGCAGTACTACACCATTTTATGTATCCGTTTTTATCTTACTTAAAGGATCTGGACAAGAGTTGGAAGCCCAAAAACACTCCATAGGAAATTAAGAAAGCCTTTTACCTTGGGGATACAATCAGACAGCTTTCCAACTTCAGATTGATTGATATGAATTTATTTGGTTTAACATGAAAAAATCTGTTTATCAGAAGATTACACAATACCTCAAGTTCTCTTATCTCATACTGATCATTTCTGCTCACAACTTTGAACTTGACGGTTTCCAGGTCCGGAACTACATATACAAAACCCACAAAATTACAGAAACCCTAAATGGCACCAGAACATAAAACGAAACACAAACACCTGACATCAAAGCTTCCTCCAAATTCCGACTCTCAAATCTCTTGGGAAACACGTACTTAGCCGTCTCTGTTGCCAAATCCGCCAAAACTAGAACAAATCCAATAAGGTTACAGCTACACATAAAATTTAGCTAATCCCAAAACGAATGTGATGAGAATAAGGTGAATGTGAAGACATTTACGTCTCTGAGAAACGGAACTAGTTTGGGAGGCGAGAGCGAAGATAAGAGATACACGAGCTTCGAGAGCAGACATGTTAGCAGTGGTGGTTCTTCTTCTTGAAGGAGCAGCAACGACGGATGATGGTGGTTCTTGGGTGGTTATTGATTTGAAGATTAGGGTTGGCGTAGAAGGGTAAAATGATCGAGACATTGTGATAATAGTCATGGTTTTTGGGGGATGTGTTTGAATTTCAGTTGGTAAAGAGGAGGTAGTGGACGTCGTTAGTTTGGCTTCGTTGTTCCAATACAGATAGATACACGTCTGTGTGGTTGTTGTATCTATAAATATTAAATATCTATATTATATTATAAAACGTTTGATAAAAACTTTTAAAATTATTTTTTAATGTATAAAGTACTGTTTATTAATGTATTTCGAAGTATTTTTTTTGTGTCTTCTTGCTAAGCCAGTAATATTACTTGAAGTTCAAAATTACAAATAAACTGTATGTAAGTACAACTTATTAAAGCTTTATTTTTAAATTTATATAACTAACTGTAGATAAATATAATCAAATATAGAATAAACGTCAATTTTAAATATATAAAATCTAAAATATAATTAAGATAATTATTGAGTTTTAACATAATATTTAATTATCATATTTATAAAAAATTATATTATTAAACCAAAAACAAATTACTTTGTTATTAAATCTAGATTAAATTATAATAAAAATTTGAATTAAACAAGCTACACAAAAAACCGAGAACTATTAAATAGTTAATTTGATATTAATATCGATTTATTTTTTTCAAATTTTTATGCTATTTTCAAATTTATATTTTATTTAAAAATAAAAACATTATCGTTTTCTCGAAACCACATAAAATCATATTATATCGATAGAGACATAATAAAAACTAAACATTAAAATAATGATTTATCTCGCTACATTACACGAGTACCCTTCTAGTTATTCATTAATACATATCTCTCAAAATTCAGAATTATATAGGGGGTTGATATCCCCAACCCCCCCCCCCCCTACATCACTTTTCATCCCCCTCATCCTCACACCAACCCTCACTTTCACCCTCACAACTTTCCGTCACTCTCACTGTCACCCTCACATACTCACCCCTACACAATCTCACCCCCCTCACATGCATCCATAAGAGGGGGTGGGGTTAGAAAAACCCTAATAAAACCTAATCATTCATAATTATTTTTATCTAGAAAAACACTTCATGATTAAAACTAAAATAAATCATTATAATAAAATTTTAAACTAAACAAATTATATCGAAAAAATAATCTTTAATACAACACTTAAACTAATATTTTTGGGGGTCTTTTAATGGGTTTTTAAATTATGAGGCTATTTACTAAACACTTACCTGAAAAGTGTTTATCGATAAAATTTAACATTGTCATTTACTTGTCAGGTAAGATTTTAGTCCACTAAAATAACAATGTATGCAACATTTTACCCGATAAAATTTAACATTGTCATCTTATTGTGTTGTAATACATATTTTACTTGTTGACATAAAATCTGTTTACATTAAATCACCGTTTAAGAGCTTAGAGCAAAATTTTCATATACCTTTAACTCGTTGACTCTATAAGAATTTGTGCAAAATTGGCTTATTTTTTGTTGGCCTTAGAATATCTCTTCTTAAGCTTCTCACCATGACTCTCCATCTCATCGTTTGTAACTACCATTTTGTTGCAAACCAAAATTTAAAAAACTACCAAGTAACGATTTCAAAACACTTATTGCCTTGTAAACTTCAAGCTGATCATCACATCCACCGCAAACCAAGGATCATCAAAATGAATACATTTGCTGCATTTTTTGACAAATATTTGTAACGGGAAAGCATCATGTTCTTAATAAACCACAGAAACCGGACTATAGGTCTCATCGGGTACTTAGCTCGAACGATACCTACTTCTACACCCAAGGTAATAAAAAGTCATGGTTCAGACCATCATTTTCCGTCTGATTTTAAAAACAACTAAGCCGCCACGGCCTCTTGCTGGCAGTGCCAGGCTACAACATCTTTATAAGCCAAATTACCGCCAAAGATGTCCAAAGCACTACCCACCGTCACATCCACATGTTCCATTCCCGCAATTTTTATCCTCTCCAGGTCCTCCATTACCGTCACACCACCAGCATACGTAACAGGAATCTGAACCACCATGGAAACAAAACTTAGATCATGGCAATGCACTTGGCTCAGCTCATGCAAATCGAATAGGAATCGTCTAAAAGTTAAAAACCGTAAAACCAGTTTGTATGTGTTATTTCATTGATGAAACAGCACATGTGAACATGCAGCAGTGTTGTTTCATATATAGATTAAACGTCAATGAATGTTTCGTCTGTGGAAAAAAACACAAAAATATATACACTCATACTCGCACTCAAGGAGCAAAACATGTGAAACAGTATGAACATAGCTTTAAATCAAACTTATTGGATGGTTCTGGTTGATTTTCACAGGTTTGGTTTTCACAATATATATATATATTATACACGCGAACCTCTGGAGCGGCCCAACCATACCATTCCTACATTCATCATAGGGAAGGTAAGCGTAAGTCGAGCAGATAGCATATGGCAAAGGGTGGTGCCCAGGCTCGAACCGGAGACCACACACATGGATTACATCCACACCTCTGCCGCTCAGCAGATGTAGAAACCTATTAATTTGATTTCATTACTTCTATATTCCCTATGGTGCAAAATATTTAATACTGCCATGTTCAAGGCAATACATAGAATCTTTTATGTACTAGTACTACTTAATACGTTACAAAATAAATGCAACAATTTCTTTTTTAAGATTACTCATTCTTATTGAATGTTGAGAACGATGATTTTGTTCCACGAGATGGTGGAGATTTATTTATTTGACTAAGAGTCAAAAATCTTAAACTTGCCGATTCAGTGAGAATAGCAGCATATATAGAGAAAGACCTAGAATATTTTTGCAGCAATTGCACAAAATAATTACCATAAACTAAATTAAAATTAAAACTAATTAAAAAAATTAATTTAATTATAGTTACAAAATACAGTACAAAACAGTAAGAAATGAAGCAAACTAGGTTGGGCTGGCTAATTCATTGATGGCTTGTGGGCTAGGCTTGGATAGTTGCTTCTTTTAATTAAAGAAAATGCAAAATCTATTCACCAATACGCTCACCCATGACCTTCTCTTCCTCTAAAGAGCACTCCTACCAATTACCATTGCTCTGCACCTTTGTTTTATTTCATTTAACCAAATGGCGGCACATATCTAATCAAAATGGTGGCAACTTCAAAGGTCGTAATTTTTTTCCATTATAAGACAATGAAGTAGCACTAACCACATTATGCCCTAAGCTAGGTCCGCCCCTTGCATATATATTCCCTTTGGTCCCACTTATATGAGACTGAGTTTGAAGGAAATCTACTATTTCCAAATTAAAACTTAATATGGTAATTATTCATTGTATCATTGTTATAAACTTCATCTTAGCGACCAAAAATGTCTCAGAAATTAAAACAAACCCCAAAACCTTTTATGTTGAAATTGGTTTGCTTGGCCTAAAAAGTAGTTGCATCTCTTGTTCATGGAATGGAGGGAGAAGTTAGTAATAGTGCACTATGAATCATTAAAGTATTAAAGATGATGAAGTTCTGGGTACTGACCGGTGAGTGCCTGCCAAGCAGTGCTACAAGCTCTTCATCAATGCCCAGTCTGCAAGAAAAAAAGGCACACAATCAATACGAGAATCAAATATTATAAGCAAATTCATCACAACCACCAAAAGTTACCGCTACAATTAATTTTTAAAGAATGATATAAGAAGTTGATGCTCATTTTCAGTCTCCTTAGTTGCTCTTCAAGAGAAGCATAAGCATGGCGAGTTTGATGGTTGCATAGATTTAATCATGAAGCAGAAATGGTTTAGTGACAACTTACTTTTTCCCTTCGACATCAACACCATGGACAAGAAACTCATCAGCATAGGTCGAAAAAAAATTCAGTATCTCCTCGTCCAGAAAGACATCACTAAACTTCTGCCATCTATCTGTGACAATGGCATACTTACCATCCTGAAAACCAGAATCATGAGTAAATAAGATATAAAAAGTACAGGGATAATGGCATATTTCCCATCCTAAAGCAGGTCCTTGTGTTAAATTTGTAATTGCTAAGAAGTCTTTTAAGACCTATACTTGCAACATGACTATTTTATTTAAGAAAATACAAGAAAACCATTTACAATTCTAACAAACAGCATCCATAGGAGACTGATTTTTAAATCACTTAGAAAACATCTATTAGAATTATGATCGAGTCACGACCTCACTTGAATAGATCTGTTCTATAGGCTCATACCTCTTTATGCATCCTAACAAGAAATATGATTGACTCCTAACATGTACTCATTCCTCTATGATTGGAAGATGCATACCTTCTTCCTGCAACTAAGATCCAAGACAAGTCTCTTTTTGCCAACAAGGTGAACAAGTCCTTTAAGCCTCTCGATGTCCATCTGTCCGTTGTTGAATACATACTGCAAGTAATTATGAAGAAATGTTCACCGCGTAAGTTCCTAATGGTAGGTTCATCATCCCAATAACAGTAGTCTGGTAAATTGACTCAATAAAATGACCAAAACTCCTTTCAACCAATGCAATTAAGAATGTATATAATTTAAGTTAAGATCATAAAGTAACTAATTGTGCATTGCCTTGGGAACTGAAGACACGTGATTTGATATTTCTTCTTGAAAGTGAATGAAGAGAATTTCTTCATTGATTATGTAGATGGATCCACCAAGCATAAAATTCGCTTAGGATTCCATCTTATAAAAAGCATGTTCAATCCTCCATATTCAAGCATTAATATAATCAATGGTGGTATTCAACAATTTAATTGAATTACATATCTATATCCAATCATACTTATTCTCAAATCAAATGACACATATTTACATTTAGAAAAAGGAGGTATGGAAAAACGTACCGATGTGATGATGACATGGCTAGCTCCTTCCTTTATGTAACTCAAAGCATTGTCTGAATTAATACCACCTCCTACTTGCAAACCACCTAGATAATATGATCCTCGCAGTAAGTTCAGCAGAGGAACAATCTGTAAGTCCACACATACTATCACACATCAAGATTAACTGTGACCAGTTTCTTAAAAAGCAAGCTACAAGATTAGGGAGAGCATGGAGTTGTTGTGTCCATATCAGCTCATGGTCACGATATGAAGGAAAAAGAAGTGACATCACAATGAGCAGTCCAACTTCTAGGAAATAAGATTATCTGCCTCCTTTACAATAGCATGCAAAAACATAGAGAGGGTCCACACATAGCACTAGTTTTAGTCCTAGTAATATCAAAACCGTCCATAATAGATGCAAAAACACCATCTTGCATGCACCTTTACAGGTGTGCCTGTGTGTGTGCATACACATTCGGATTTTCATTTTTCCAAATGCATGGTCTTAGTATGGTGGAACGTTCTTGCATAAAGGCTCAGAAAAAATAAGTAGATGGACTAAGAATCTCCTAAAGCTGTGTGCCAAAAAGCAGTGGTGCATATGGTACAAAGCACATAACATTTATCGTCAGAAACAATAATAAGAATAAGATGACACTTGGTCTCAGAGATGGTGTAGTAATCGCTACTACAATTATTGTTATGCATGGTTTATAATTTCTCTTCCCCGTGGCATGTTAATAATATGGATGGAAGAACTTGCAAGGAGAATGCATAAGTGACGACTACTTTACCAGGATAAGCATGTAGTGCTCCAATGGCTGATTCATTGCTCAAAGGATCAGCTCCAAGCATTATTACATGACCGCCTATAAGTTCATCTTCTTTGTAAAGTGTGGCATACTCTGCAGCTGATTTATCAGATTCAAAATTTGTTACTAGAGTTGAACCGCTTTCCTTTAAGTCCGTAAGGGTAGATCCAACAATCTGCTTTACTTTCCCCTGAAAGCTCATTAAGCACCAATGTACATGAATATGAAGATGCCAAGAAAATGATTCAAGGACTTTGTAAAAGAAGGGAACGCTATGAAGCCCGCAAGCCCACTTTCCTATATCAATCTTTGCGAGTAGTGTTCTTTCTTGATATACTTGGACTAGTTCTTTTGTACATCCTCAGAAGATTTGTAGTCTATGGACATCAAAGAAGGGAACACTATGAAGCCCTCAAGCAGATATAAACAAACATACCTAAGAATTACCAACCTTGTGTATATCAATGCAAGGGCGGAACTTCACACTGCACTTGATTGATAATTGATGAGGTCCTATCATCAGAACAAAATTTATTTCCTCCATTCAAGCACATATGAAGAGAAACAAACATATATGCATATATATAGGGGCACGTCCCATTAGGAATCTAAAACTGATTAGGAATGGGGTGACCAGTCACAGTGCGACATGTGGCATATTCATCAAGAATATGAACACATTATTCATCATGATTCATGAATGTGTGATTCATGCTATTCATGATGAATAACACCACATGATGCGCTCTGGACCGTTCCCAAGTTCCTACTCAATTTTGGGTTCCTAACACATACACACACACACACATATACATATATATACAAACACACATAGACGTGTGTGTATTGCATATGTTTTCTACACACAAACATGAATATGATTAACATAAGAGTGAAAAACAAAGAACCCGAACATACTTGAGCTCCACGAAGGTGCCGTCACAAATTTCTCCTTTCTGGCTGTTATGCAAATTGAAGAGGTCAGAACCCTACCAGAGGCATTGAGTTGCAACCAGGTTGAACTGGCATGAAGGCTTTGAATTTGCATATTTTCCAAATGATGATCCAACTAACAACCCTGCAATAACAAGAAAATGGTAAGGAACTATAAAAACACTTACATAGTGAAGGGAATATGACCTGTGACGCATTTTATGCTCTACTCTAAACACTAAAGAATGACACCAATTGAATATGTATAGCTAGACACTTCCAAATCTCTTCACTTGGCAAAACTATATCTTCCTCAAGCTGTTGCAAATCTGGATTTTCACTGGACAACTTCACCAAATTTGAAGAAAATGAAGCAACCAAAATTCAGATTTTTGATGCATGGTAGTGAGGTTTGGTATTGGAATTGCAGCTTCTTCAGCCAAACTTTGTACTCAAGTTGCTACTTGAAGTAGTACTTCTCAACCATGTTAATGTCCATAACTAAAAGACTAAAACATAAACTGTGATACTTAACGGAGTTTAATTTAGTGATCCACTTGCCTACATTAGCAAATTAAAGATGATATCGAACAAAAACATAGCAGTAGCAACAGTTTTAGTTTGTAAATATTTATAGTAACACTCGTTATTGGAGATTAAATTAGTGATATGTTCTTTCTCTGAAACCAAAATCATTCTTAAAATAGTAAGCCATTTAATTCTTATGTGTCAAACTAAAAATGTTGCGACTGCTATACATATTCCAACAGTGCAATCGTAGCAGAAGTCTCCCACAAGCAATGTTCAAGCAATCAATCGTCACAACAATGAAATAATATGAGCCGGAGTTCAAGCAATCAATAGTCACAACTCACAACAGAACTCTCCCACAAGCAATGTTCAAACAAGAAACCTCAGCTAAAATCAATTTTCAAAACCAAAACTAAAATATATTTCATAAGCAAACAAAAAACTCGAATTCGTTCATCAAAAGCAAAATCCATTTCAAAACCCGAACAGAAATATCGATTACAAAAGCGTGAAGGAGAATCATACCAGGTAGAGTGAGCCAAATCGAACAGTCCTGAGAGAAATCGTGTTTGAGTTTGAGCAATCGTGAAGGATATCAGACTATAGGGTTTAAGGGGTAGTTTTGTCATTTTAATAAAAATGGGTTGGAATGGAATGTTAAGGGTCCAATTCCCTCCATATTTTCATTTATAGTTCATTTTTCATTTTTATCATTCAAATTAAATATCCCTCAATCATAAAATGATAGAAATATGAAAGAAATGTTGGATTCACAGTGATATCAGACTATTTTTATGAGATACGTGATATCATATTTTTACACTTGAAATTTTACAGCAAAAACACTGTAAAGGTTAACTTCACAGTTTTTTGATGTGAAGTTTAAAGTGTAAAAATGTTATTCAAGTGTTTCATGAAAACAATCTTGTTTCACACAAATCCAAATCTATAATATGATATACTGTATTTACTTCCATTCAATAGGTGAACCAAGCATAAGAATGGAATTTGATCAACATTATTGACCATTATGATTCCATTATATTAGAATCCTACGAATCAAAAGTAAATATCCTTAAAAATTAGAAATATATATATGATTATAGAATTTTAATCAAATCTTGGTTTCAATGCAAAATATTAGAAACCTTTTAGGTTTGACACTAGAGATGCTTTCAATGGTGTCAACAAAAAAAATATAGGGGCTGTTTGGCAGTTGCTGAATGGTTTGGTACAGAATGGTTAAGTGGTCAGAATGGTTAAGTACTGAATGAAATAAATTTGTTTGGTAATTGTTCTCTGAATGACAGTAAATTACCATTTTAACCTTCATTCATATTAGGGATGCCACTTCAACCTTAAACACTTGTATGACCTAAATTAACAACAAACAGAGCATAAAGACTCAAAACTCAATTTCTGATATTTACACAATTCTTCAAATCGAATGTCTGAAAGATTCTAGAACAAATTCTGTGAGCGATTTATCACAGTGAATGAAGAACAAAATCGATTACACCAACAGATTCTGTGAGCGATTTATCACAGTGAATGAAGAACAAAATCGATTACACCCACATACCATCGATTTTTGAGGGATGCGACGAGAGGAGGCGGCGGCGAGCGGCGGCGACCAGATGCAAACCCTAGACAGGAGACGGAAGGCGACGAACGACGGTGGCGACGAACGACGGTGGCGACGAACGACGGTGGGGACGAACGACGGTGGCGACGAACGACGGCGGCGATGAGGCGACGAGGCGACGGCGATCGTAGGGTGGGGGGAGGAGGCGACAGACAGAGCGATGTGAGGAATGTTGGGGGAGAGGGAAAATATGGAAAAAGAAGAGTCTGAATGGTTTAGAGAGCCCCTGGATGCAAAATGGTTAAGAGGTAAAATGTAACCATTCAGAGTTTTTTTTTTTCCCAAACAGCCTTGACCTCTTAGCGATTAAGAGGTTGGCTCTTAATGTAACCATTAAGAGCCAAACAAACAGCCCCATAGTGTTGTTATACATTTGTAAAGTTAATATAAAAGTATATGTAATAAAGTTTAGAACTACTCGTTATGAAACGATGAATGAACAAATATAGTATTGTTATACATTGTAAAACAAAAAATAATTGTATTATAAAACAATATTGTATTGTTCACATTTTGTTATTTCACAATATAAACTTCACATAAATACAATTTCATAATATAAATTTCACATAATTATTGAAATGGTTTTCATTTATTTTGCAATTAAAACTTTATATAATGACCGTTTACCTAAGTTTCTTAACAATCAATTTTTCAAACGTCTAAACACATTTATTTTATCTCATGAGATGGTATTTTTGACATTTGAAGCTAAGTTCAAACCAATCAGATATCATTATTGTGGTTTTATAATAAAATATTATTATCATAAATAATGAAAATATTCATGAACATTTTACGATTAATCATCATAAATGATTCATAAAATAGTTAGTTGTTTTCAAATTCTTTTCGCTTCTCGTTTAAACCTGCAACAAATAGAAAGACGAAGTAGAGCATGCAATTTAAGATACCACAACAGCTTTCAGCATTACAAAACACAAAGCAATTCAAAGCCTAGAAATACTTATTCTGGAGCTACAATTTCGATTAGAAATGTCAAATAGAAGATGGGCTGTCTTGGGAGGTAAACTTGACAGAGATACTGTTAACACAATGCCTTTCATCTGTAGGTGTCTTGAACCCCTCGCCTTTAAACACATGACCCAAGTGCCCTCCACAAGCTGTGCAAGTGATTTCGGTCCTCCTTCCATCTGGGTCTGGCTGCAAAAATAACAAAATTTGAACTTGTTAGAAAGAAAATATCAGGTCCAGAGGGGCCATCCCAGTGCGCTTCATGCTCCGTCTTTTTTAACTATGGGTGTTCGAGTCAGCTTGCACACTACCCCAGTTTATGCGGGAGCTGGGGAGGGAAGTCTTTGGCAACTCAAACACGTGTAGCATGTAAACCTTCTTGTCTTGTCAGAATACTAAGCACAAAATATGGAAAATCTTGAAAGAGTAGTGAAGCTCACGGTGCGGGTGATTGCTCCAGGGAGACCCTCGAAGAAAGCAGGCCAGCCACAGCCAGAGTTGAATTTGGTTGTTGATTTATAAAGTGGTGTTCCACAACCCGCACAAGTGTAAATCCCATCAGCAAAAAACTTGTCATATTCGCCGGTGCCTTTTGGCCTGTAATTGGAACCCCAAATATTCAAGAACGTTAGCCTACCGTCTCACTCAATCCTTTCCAAGAGGTTGGTTCTAAGACTTTTGGAATTCAAAAGTCATACACATTCTATCGATCATCAGTTTTCTACTTGAAGCCTCATTCTGTTATGAAGTTCAAAGAAGTTAAACAGTCTTTTCTCAGGAATTTATCAACCATGCAAATGAAAATAAAATATGAATCCATTCTCATGTCAAGAGTCAAGTAACCTTACTGGCACTATATAACTATATATTATAACCTAACCAAGATCATGCAGTAGCAGTAGAAAGGATAATCAAGACTGCAAAACGTACATAACCAGCAAATGTATGACTTGATTCATTGAAACCATTCTATGCATCCACTTCAAACTTTGATATACATTTTGACTTTTGCAATCCCAAAACTGACATGATGTTTCTGTTATTTTGAAAATTAAAATGTTTTGCCATTTTGTCTTCCTTTCCCTAACGATCTGTTCTCGAATTTGGGAGGAAAAGAAAGGAAAGGGAAGAAAAGAAAAAAGAATTTTTTTTATTTGTGTTCTCGAAGAGTTTTTGTGTAAGGAAAAGCTGTCATTTTGACAAGTACACCCTTATTTTGTTTTGTTCACTTTCCTTCTATGTTAATTATAAATTTATATTATAGGAATGCTCAAGTCTACCAAATATTATTTGTAACTTCGGCTTAATTTTCATCTTCTAAAATCTAATACTTAAAATCATCACATTAACTTATGATGCTGCTAACCAATGAAGTATAAAAACATAATACTTCTATTCTTGATTTGCATAAAATTAAAACATATGCTCTTTTGTTTCGTCTATTTGACTAATCTGAGCACATTCGATGTTTGAAGCTGAAGAATGGTGAAAGATAAGTGAATATGGAGTGGCATATAGGTCAAGTAGTAGAGCTTGTTGCTGCATGGTTGATGGTTCTAACATGAGTGGGCGACAGGAAGATGCACAGCAATGGTGGGTGATAGAAAAGACGCAAAGCAACGTGGGGAAATGGTTCAATCGAGGGTGATTTAGTAACTTTAGTAATATTTATTTGGGCTTCTTTCTTTACTTCGCTTTTTTCACAAGTTTGGGAGGAAAGTTGTTAATTTCTTTCCCTCTCTCCCCTAAAAAATTCGAGAACACGTGTTTCTTTTACTTCCCTCTCTTTCCTTTCTTTGTAAAAAGAAGTTTAGAGAACAGAGCGTAAATACAAATAAACCTATATCAATTTTAAGGGGTTGTTTGGGATTGCTTATAAAAACAACTTATTGACTTATTTCGGTGTGACACCATTAATAAGCTATCTTGAGTATTTGAATAAACAACTTATACCGGTATCAAACCGGTAATAAGAAGTTTTTGAATCCTGCTGACTTATAGCAAATTGATACGTGCTCTTTTAGAGAAGCATAAGTTGTTTCAAATAAGCAATCCCAAACATCCACCTCCTAAATCTTAAAAACTCCTTTAACCATAACAGTGAAGCATATCTTTAATTTCCAAATCGACTGAGTATAGTAGCATGAGGAAAATACAAAATCCCCAATTGACTTTTGCGGTCAAATTGATCATTCTCAGACACAACTGAAAACGATTTACAAACTTGTTTGCTACGAATACGATTTCTATTAGGAGCTTGTGGAGTATATAGAATAGAGAATCCGCAGTTAGACTTTTGGAGTAATTGTGAACAATTCGCATCATTACACCTAAGAAAAATATGCAAAGTTGTTTGCTGAAATGCAAATAATCTTCTGACAATTGTAGAGTTACCTAGATGCAAACAACTTATCGTCAAAGTTAAGTCCAAAAGTTCATCAGTTCTGCTACCGAAATAAAGCATCTTTCCAATTTTTGTGAATCGGAACACCTGATATTCAAAGAATTGATTGGATCAAGTAGTACACTTACTCAGTTCCTTTGCTACGAAGGATGCGGAATTGTTCAGCAGAGAGAATTGCACGCCATTCCTCCTCTGATTTCACAACGGAAGTCATTGAAATCAAATTCAGAACCGAGACAACCCTAGTTTTAGTAATATTAGAGATCTGATGATTTTTCTCGGATATAGGAGCGATATATCACTAGACAGATACGTATCAAGGCATCACCATATCCCACAGGTATTTGATGATGAACCTGGCCGCAGTGATGGTTCAGGGAGGGTTTGATTATTGGACACGACAATCATGATTTAATATAATTTAGGGGGTTATTTCAAACTCTTTATGTTTTTTTTAAACGTTTATCAACTCATTATAAATTATAATGTTTAATTTTTTAAAAAATTTCTTATTAATGTTTTGGCATCGATATAAACTGTTTATTCATATACTTAAAAGTGCTTATTACGGGTGTCATATCGAAACAAGTCAATAAATTGTTTTTATAAGCAATCTCAAACAACCTCTAATATATATAAAAACAGGTTTTACCTTGTTTAATCATGTCCTCGATACTGTTTACAGTCATTTCTGCATGGTAATTTTATATTTCCTTGTGCTTATTATTTGGTATGAAGATTACACTAACTTTTAATTTAATTTATTTTTATAAATTTTCTTATATACATATTAGGGATTGATCCAATGTAAAAAGTATAATGTGGTCCGTGTCAACGTATTGTTCATCCGTTGTAATGTGGTCCGTGTCAACGTATTGTTCACCCGTTGTAATGTAAAATAATTTAGGGTTCTGAAAGGTACCACCGTATTAATTTTTTGTGTTTCACTGTATATATTTTGAAACTAAATGACAATAAATTTTCTTTGATATAGTTAGTTTGCAGGACTTTTATTCCGTCTTATATCCAAGTTCAAATTTTATAGTGTCATTTTTTAATCAAATGGTGTCATTGTTTAAATTTTTTTTTTATATATTTGTTTCTTATGGTCAAATTGTACCATTTTTTTGAAAAAAAATTATGAGTTCGTCCCTTGAACACATTATATTATAAAAATACAAGTTTATTACAAGTCAATATAACACGTGTATGTAACTTCTTAATGAAAACGTCAAAAATTTAAAAACACAACTTTTCATATATAACACATAACTAAGGGGTCGTTTATCAAACGTTTATCCGGGTAAGCGTTTACCAAGTGAAATTACCTCACCGGATGAATACGGTACGGACCAATAATCTTACCCGGTAAGAGCGAGACAGAGATCAAGAGTCTTACCCGGTAACTGAGAGCGACGACTCTTACCACGGTAAACGCTTACCGTGTAAATTGTTACATGCAATGTCATTTTGGTTGACTAAAATATTACCCGATAAGTAAATAGTAGTGTTAAATTTTACCGGTAATCACTTACAGGGTAAGTATTTGGGTTGTAACAAACCATTAATCAATGAATGCAACTATTATAAAATCATATTGAAGATCATTCTTCAATCAGTAATAAAGAAATTGGTCGTTGTAAACCATTAACTGTCGTTACAAACTATTAATCTATGAATGCAAACTGTTACATAATCATATTGAAGATCATATTTGTCGCTTGTTGAATATAATCTTGTGAATGTCAAAGTACGTTTACGGCATGCGTTTTTATAAGGCGTATCTTTTTCCATGTATTTTTTTTATTTTTAACTTTTGTGTTTTTACACTTTTGCAGACTTACTTAATCACATAGCTCACACTTTCATGAGTTCACACATGTTACAGGCTCACGGTTAAAATGAAGTCGTAAACCTTTCAAAGTTTCCAGTTTGAATATTGATCACAAAATTTTTATATAATATCAGTTGATATATATGATGTTTCTTCTTCTAACATGAATGTAATTTTTTTAATATCATTATATTATTGAATTGTAAAGGTAAAACATATATACAGGGTTGGGTTCCGACGAGAAAAAGAGTTAATTTGAGAAGCGTAAGAAGATATCTGCACATCTGAATGCACATTAAGATGAAATGCACTATATCAATTCTCGTAATAAGCGCAAATCAAGGGTCCAGATATTTCTTACGCTTATCACCTTTAACTTTCCTTCTCACACGATCTTTCGCCTATATATATGTAATGAGTATATGACATACATTTTTGCTAACTTACGCCTTGGAAAAATGTTGCTTCTTGGTTGTAGTGTGTAACACTTAAGGCTTGGGCCCGCCGTCATATCATGTTTCACTATATTAGGATTTAGGGGTGGACTTGGTATAGTACCAAACCTTTTGTTCTTTAATACCGTATATCAACCAATTATAATTGATAAACAAATTCTTAAACTGTGTACCAACCAACTATACTTGGTACCAACTTTTTTAGTAACATACTCGTGCAAATTTTATATCAACTTCAAGTTACATATATGAAAACATGTCATTTTGTTCATATTTCAAGTTTGCAGGTAACACACATGATGTTTAAGCTTTAATTATAAGAAATAAGACTTGAAAATATTAAAATGTTTAAATAAAATAATTAAAGTTACAATATTTAATATTCAATATATAAAAAATAAAAAAACTAATAAATAATTAAAGGGTTAAATGCATAAATAACAATCTACTTTCATAAATTTTCTTATTATAACATTCTACTTTTGTTTTTTTATTACAACAATGTAGTTTCAAATTATTTTTTATTAAGACATCGCACTTTAAAAAATCTACCCATTATAGCAATGGGTAGCCTATTACCTTTTAAACTGGTTAATCCTTTGACTTTTTTTGCTTGTGTGGCTTTAACAAGGTGATGTGGATGACACATCATTTTGATGACTTAATTAAAATTAAAATAAAAACCTATTTCAAATTATTATTAGTGATTTTCATTGTTATGATTTAAAAAATATTTATTTTTTTTTGACTTTTTTTATTAGGTTGAATGCAAATTAAGTATTTTAGAGTAAAATATTTCTTAAATAAATATACTATATTATTTTCGAGATATATTTTGTTTGTAAAAAATGTAACACTTCTTATTTTACGTTGTTCAAAAAATATATATCTTTTAAAGTTTTCTCTAAAATATTAACAAAATTAATTGTGTTTTATAATTTTTTAATATTGTTATATTAATAAATAATTCAAAAAAATCTAAT